TATATATATATATATATATATATAGTACCCATTTAAATACACTGTGCAATAACCCTGTATGATAATCCTGCTAAATAAGAGACTTCAACTGTCCTATCTATGTATGTGGACGCACTGTATATATTGTATATTCCCCATGTCCCTTTTCTCTTTCCTTTGGCACCTTCTTTCTCTTTTTGACTATTTTAGCTGTGTAACGATTAAATTTCTCCCCTGCGAGATCAATAAAATCAATCAATCAAGAGTGTCCTTTTTGGAGTTAGGATCCCTACCTTATCAGTGCATGTCTCGATGCAGGAATGAGTGGTTAGGTTGGGCTGAAAGGAGTGGACCGGGAAAGTGCTAATGATGCTGTTTGTCAGGTTGAAGCAGCCACGATGGTGAATGTTTCTGACTAAAAGAAAAGAGAAACACAGATTACAAGGTGAAAAAAATTTTTTTGTGTAAAATATGTTCAAAAATAATGTGACCAGAATAGAGAAGCTCTCTAGTTGGACGAGTGCTCTATATTCCCTCTGAAAAGATACATGAACTAGAAACTTCAATCTGTCTGCAGGAATTTCTTTCCTCAGCATAACTGAATCCCAGAGCACTGTTTTGACATTCAAAGCTCAGTTGCTAATCTCTGGAGGGCATGAAGCTTCCAATCATGAATATTAATGGTGTTTATGATTATGCTTATCTACCACAGGTTCCTTCGCACAGGTCAGGTTGTCTTTCGGGAAAATAAGACAATTTGTACAGGACCAAATTATGGGCATGAGTGTTGTTGTACCCTTGAAGAAACACGTCCCCTGAGCTTTTTGCTTCATTGCAACCACATCTAAATGTACATAACTGGGACCCTAATTAATATACAACAAAATAAAGCGTCATTTTACAGTTGAAGGAAAATGATGCATTGCTTTAAAAGCATCAAAATGTTCAATAGTCCATTTCAGCAGATGTGTAAAATACTAATAAATGAACGCTGTGTATCACACTGAACACACCATACATACGAGGAAAATAGTGTTGGCAGAGTCAAACTGTTGGGACACTTTTCTGATCTACAAAGGCTCCACATAGGAAACGCTAAATTGGCTTTCAAAAGAATTATACATGTATTTGGTGTGGACATGTTGAAGACGATCTAAGATTGCATCCTCAAAGGACAAGAGGTGGAAAGAGGTTTGATCTGCCTCTTTAAAACTCTTTGAAAGTTGCCATAAAAGAAAGATCAAGTTGTACCCCATGGAGTTTGAAAACTTTAAAATGATAACAAAAGTGCTATGAACAAAAATAAACAACAAAAAAGGAAAAATAGTAAATGTTGAATTATTATAGTATACTAAGGTTAAAAACTAAACTGGTTTACACCCACCACTTGTTAAACCATCTGCTTGACCCAAAGTATAACAAAGCAAGGTTGGTCTATAATATTTCATACAACTTAACTGTGCTTTTTTCAGAGCTGGTAAAGGAACATTGGGGGAGAAAAAAATCTTTGTTGTGGAGGATGGGCTTAAGCCTTCCTATGCTTAAAAACAGCAGCCCTTTTTTTTTTTTCCTTTTTTCTTTTTTTTTAGATCTCTTTGTAGGTGATAAAGCAGACTGAAGGCGTTTTATCATTGTCTCCCTTTTATCTCCTCTTTCTTTCATCTTTTTTTCAGTTTTTTCTTTCCTGTTCTACTTACATTGCAGTGTCCATACAATCTGTAATACTCCCTGCATGAATTATAATAAAGTTATTTATATGCCTAAATCAAGCGGAACACTGTGGCGATAGCCGTACTACTCAACTTGTGAAAGCTAAATTTTTTGGGCTCTTTTTTGGCATCAAGACAATTATTCTTATTGCCACATTGCCAGACAGGACACTGTAAAAAAAAAAAAAAAAAAAAAAGACTTCCTGACTAATGTGGAAATGTTTACATAAAATTATGCAACAGTCCGATTGCATAATTTGCAGAAATATTGATTTAGAGATAAATCAATATTTTGATTTATCGCTTTAGTTAACTACTGTAGGCTTAAGCCGCTGGAAGACATAGAGAACCTTTTTTTCCAACTCTGCTTCATTTTTTCATATTGTTCAATTTATGATTGTTTAAAGTACGTTCAACTTCTAACTTTAAGTTCTCTCTACTTTTTCTCACAATAGTAGCTGCATCTGGCCTAGCTTCCTGCTGCATGCCATAGAATTGGGGATGTTTTGATGTTTATGTTTTGCAGTGTTTAGTCCTGTTTCTCTCCCAGACTTAAGTATGGGTACAGCTTTAAATATAACCATCTGTAAGTGCTCTCTAACGTTTTTTTATATGCAAACTGAATTAGAGCTCATCTGTTTAACTATTCTTTTCCCAGAGCCACCTATGGAGCTAGTTAACCATTAAGTTCTGACAATTACGTATTCATGGATGAACGCTTCTTTGTTCTTTTTGAATGTCTGCTTCAGTTTTCTTGAATCCCCATTTGGTTTCGGCAAAGGGCCGCACACACTGAGCCTGGTTCTGATGGAGGTTTGCTCCTGTTAAAAGGGAGTTTTTCCTCTCCACTGTGGCATGCTCCAAGTGAGGGCTTGCTGCAGAGTCAATGACACAATGCAAGCAAATATAGACTGCTGAAACATGCTCATCCAGGAGGAGCAAATCCTACAAAGTCATAGAAAGAAAACTTTCAACTAATCTGTCTGTATGATTTTAAAGAACTGTCTTTGTATGACATGAGAATCAGTGCTATATAAAGCTGAATGGAATTTAATAAATTCTGAAATGCTTTTTCTCCAAGGCCATTGTGCCATTGCCATGCCTGTGCCCAAAATGCAAGCATAAAAAAATTAGTGTGAAATTTTGCATCTGGTTAAATGTAGATGCGAAAATTCCGCATTGTCAGTTTCAGGTTGGATAAATCGTTTTGTAGGTGATAAGTATTTATATGTGCAAAAAGTGACCCACTACTGACAGAAAAAATGTCTTATTTGTCCTTATCTGTGCAAAAATATACTGTTTATAACAAAATAATTTAAGAACAAAGCAAATCTGGATATATATTTTTGTTAAAATGTGACATGACAGGACCTAAACTATCTGTTCTAATGTGCAGCAGCTGAGTGGCAAGCTTTGCATTTCAGTCCTGTTGATGTTTCTCTGCAAATGGAAATAAGCAAAAGAGACACACTGGAATAAACAGCTTAACATTTAAAATGTGTTGAACCTCAAACTATTTCTCATTTTATTCTCACCACACATGCAGATGTGTTGCCCTCAGGTTTTTCTATCTGTTTCTTGAACACATTTCATCAAAGGCAACACTTACAATGAGTGCACCTACAAATGTCACTTGGAAAGCAATCGCAGCAGTTTGATGTTTTATGCATTTGTAGCCCCAGCTTAGAGGGCCGATGACAGCTCCCAGACGGCTGTCATATTAATGTGGAGAGCTTTCCAGAACGTGACTTTCCCAGGTGTGTATCAGACAGATATAATGACTGTCAGAGCTGAGGGCCCTGTCACCTACACACGCAGGTAAAAAAAAACTGACAGGTTTAGCCTTGGTGCAGGCTGATGAAGAGTTATGTATTTTTCTTTAATCTGTGCACGTTAAACAGCAGCATGCAAATATATTTTCCCAGCTTGTTTTAACACAGCTTGTTAAAGCTGAGCAGATGTGGCCTCTCTGGGCATCAATACTTCTAAACATCATTATGAGTTAGCAATTGCTGGAATTAGGGCTTAAACAATTAATCAGATTAATCGATTATTTAAATAAACGTCAGCTAATTTAGTAATCGATTAATCATTAACTGGAGTATAGAGACTGTAAAACGCCTTTAGTTGACAGAGCGACCTGCCTGGACCAGAAATTATAATGAGATTGTAAAAAACTATATCAACATTTTGCATTCAAGATTTTTTTTAAAGTTTACGTCTGTCAATAATGTTTTCAGTTTCACCTGTTTAAATTTTGCAAAAAGTCTTCTTCAAGGAATCTTTGGCTATCCGATTATTAATCGAAAAAATAATCAACAGATTAATCATTTGCAATCGTTAGTTGCAGCCCTACAGGGAATTGAAACTCTTGTCCATTTCGTTGCTGTAATACAGTATGTCCCATAACCAGGGGTGGAAAGTGACAAAGTACATTTACTGATTACTTTACTTAAGCACTTTTTTTTGGTATCTTTGCTATACTCGATTAATTTTCTGGGGGGGCTACTTATAACTTTCCCTCCACTCCATTTCCAGTAAGCTGCTACTTCATTGTTCCTTTTGGTTCAGCTTAGCTTTTTAATCCTCTGTTGTTGTTTTTCATTCCATCATGTTAGCCCTTAGGACTAAATCTGGACGCCACTGTTTTAGAGATTTAATGACATAACACTAATGTGAGAAACTCAATATTAGTAGTTTATAGTTTTATAAGGCGTTAGTTGTTGCCATGTGGCCAAGTTATTCAGTAGGATGAGATCTCTAAGCAGAGTTATAGTTTCTAATAGATTTAACCTTAAACTTCTATTCTATAATGAAAGTGTGAGGAGCATAAAGACTCCTCTGTTTTCATTTTGGTTTGTTTTTGAATAATAAATAATATTCAAATAACTCCTTGTTTTTTGGTGGTATCTTTATGCTGAAGATTAGACAGAATTTGAAAATTTTATTTATATTTTTGAATACTTAAATACTTTAAAATGCATTTAATTTTTAATACTTTAGTATTTTAAAAATTGAGTACTTAAATACTTTAACATGACTAGATGTTTGAACCGAGAAACTTTTACTTGTGGTTTGACTTTGAGTATCAATACTTTTACTCAAGTACTACTGTTGATTATTTTGTCACCACTGATCATTACTTATTCTTTACCTCATTTATAATCAGTTGATGTGCTGATTGCACACTGCAGAGTGATAGGAATAGTGGACATGAGCATGTATTAGTTTATCTTTAAATTAACGCTCTACCTTGGTGGTTAGAAAATTATAATGAAGACTTTCCAACACATTTTGATTTTGAAAAAGGATTTTTTTTTTTTTTTTTAAACAAGTAGAACTATGCACATTGCTTGATAGTTAAGAAAGATAGGTAAAAAGAAAGCTGTAATGTACAAAAAAGAAAAACGTATTCACCTCTTTTTACAGATCTACCTAAGAGTTTTGAGAAGGAGGAGGAGGACCGCTACAGATATCTGCAGGTTAGGGTCTGTTTTCATCAAAAAATACCAGAAACTTGGGGAAAACCTGAAGTGGGATTTTATTTATGTGTTTCTGTCTCTGATTAAGGTATCCTCATCACAAATCATGTCTCCAGACTATAAAATGCTATTCTATTGTCAAAGCAAGGTGGTATTTACCCCATAAAGAATAAGTGGATCAATGGCAGAAATGTATTTATATTAACCAAAAAGGTGGGAATTAAAACACATTGAGAGAATAATGTTGAAAAAACACTGTAACCGGCTGAGAAAGTACATCAAGGGAGTGCACTGCAAAAAAACTAAATCTAGATAAGTCCTTTTTTCTTAAAATAAGGACATTTGTTCTTGAATTGAGGAGATAAAAGAGACATTTTGCCAATGGAACAAGACAATTTACACTTAAGATAAGAAAACACAATTGCATTGTCTTATTTCAAGTGTATATTATCTAATTATCTTATTCTAAGAGTAAAATTATTCATTCCATTGGCAAACTAGCTCATTTACCTACTCAAATTAAGGGTGAATACACTTAATTTAAGAAATTTTTACTTATTTCTAGATCGTTTTTGCAGTGTGGAAATACGTGTTGGAGACTATAGAACAAAACAAGATCTTCCCAGGCTGTACGGTAATCAAACTAATTTGGAAACAAATATGTAATTCGTCTTATCGCTCTTTTTCTGAGCGAATGCCCTGTAAATGTGAAGTTCTGTATTATGAAACTTTGCATGTGATAACTGGCCTCTGAAAGATGAAAAAACAGAAACTGCTGCTAATGCTTCTGGCAGGAAGCATAAAGACGATCACTAGAAAATAGTGAAAAACTGAAAGACCTACAGTCGAAGATTGCATCAAAACTGTCCAGGAAATTTACATTCTAGAGAAATCTGACTTTTGTTAGTGACTGAGTTTTTCTACCCCTACAGCTCACCGTGGATTATTGATAGACTGAAGAGCTAATATAAGAAATAATAACATAATATGATAAAGACAGTCAGAGAAAAGGACGAACAAGTGGAGAGCATCAGATATGAGATTATGTTTACACCTCATATAAAACTGTTATGGACTATGATCTCTGACAGAGTTAAATAATTATGGAAAGCAAAGACTTTTTTATTTCAGGAGAGACAATCTCTCACCCTAAATCTAAGTTACATTCGCTGGGTTTGTTTATCTACAACGTTCTGCTGGGAGTCCACATGTGAATCCCATGTAACATCAGATTCGTTCAGAGAAGATATTTCCCAAATGGGATAATTCCTTATCCTAAGCTGTGTTTGATGTGATCAAATTGATCAATGTTGATATAAGAAACCAAACTATAGGACCTTAATATGTGTTTAAATGCCAGTCCAGATGATTATTCTTTACAGTTGGCTGCCTAGTGTGACATTCCTCCGTGAAATTCAATCAGAGCTGATCCTCATTAAGAAACTGATCATTACATCAAAGCCCTGTGTCGTAGTGCGAGCTCTACACTAAACCCGCACACATTCTAGTCTAGCTGAGTCAGCTGCTTCGGATCTTATCATCCCAATTAATGACTGTTATTAGTGGTTATCAGTCCCATAGCATGGCTTCAGGTTGGCCTCCTACCTACTAGTAGGCGCAGTAGGCTGTTATCACCAAATGAATCCTAATCCTAACCCTAAAGTAATTCCTTTCTTAACCGCAGAATTAATTAATCTATTTATGTGTAATCTGTACATAATTTTAGCAGTTCCTCATTTATAAAAAAAAAAAAGTTGATTGTCATGTCGCTAGATTTTTGCAAGACGAGATATGCTATTTTCAAACATTTTTCCTTCATCTTAGAATTGGAAATGTGTTATTTCTCCTCGCCTGTATAAATAGCAGTGTGTGTTGTGTTCCCTGAGGGGAGCTGGCTCACATTTTCTGTGACCTGGCAGCTGCTCCTCCACCTTGTAAATGGAGAGACGGCCCACGCCGCCACAGGGAGACCCCCTCTCACCCCGGCACACCAGACTGCAGTCCTCCTCCGGTGCCGGGGGGCTGCTGATCCGGTTCCCACAGTGACACTCAGCTCCATACTCCAAGCCTGCAAACTGGTATCCACTAATCACACACACACACACACACACGGAGGGAAGCACAGTTATTTCCCTAGCCAAAGGCATTTTATAACCTCAGACTCTTACCCTCAGGCTATGCAATCCCATAGGAGGACATTAGGTAAGCTTTTACACTTATCACTTAATTCAGACTTCCCTGCATTAAATATAACGTATTCCCTGAGAAGGTTGTCAGTGCTTCTGCCCATTTTCTCATCTGACTGCATAATGTCCTCTTCTGCATGAACTACAGTCACCTCTGATCTGTTCTTTACATATCTCAGCCTTTGTGACTCATCCTCCTCCCTCTGCTTTCATCCTTCCTCCTTGGGAAAACTGACCTTTTCCTGTGTGTCCTTTGAAGCTACCCCATAAATTGCCTTGACTTTTTTACTTTAGCTCATCACTGTAATTGGCTGGCTCAGGTAACGAGCCTGACCGCTCCCCGTGCGGACGCCGGCTTCCTGCTTGCACTTGGTTGGCCTGAGATGTAAGCACCAACTGCATACTCTGCAGCTAGCTTACTCTGCTGCTCTGCTGTGAGTTAGAGAAAAAAAAGAATAATTCAAAGAGGTCTTCCATGAGCCGGCTTTGAAGGATTCCACCTGCCTCCTTCTTATTTCCTTGGAGCTTTTTGTGGAGGTCATGCAGCGTGGATCACAGTGACCCCCTTGGCTACTTTTCAAAGCAGGGTTTTTGAAGAAGCTCATTTCTAACCACCAATATATTCAGTCCAACTGCTGCGGTCAGCTCATTAGGATTTCCCACAGCAAGTGATGAAGCCTCCTGTACCCCACCCCCACCCCCGCTCTTCCCATCCCTCGTCTCTTAAACCTCCCCAGACACCTGGCTCTCCACTGGCTAAAAGACACGGAAGCTTTTCATGGAGGGGACAGGCTCCCAAAGCTTAGCTCACACAAGTGGCCCTCTGTGGCCCCCCTCACAGGAGCCAGCCTTGAATGGGTTACCTTTCTGAGCAGGTGTCCTGACACAGGGAGCTGGTCATCTTGCGTAGGTCATAAAGCATGGTTCCCCCCAAAGCTCGATCGCTGGCATTATGCAGGAAGCAGCCAATGTAGGTTCCTGCATGTGTGAAAAATAAAAGTACAAAGAATCTCAGGCAGGCTGGAGTGTGTGAAGTCAAATCTGATTTTTCACTGCATTATTATTAGACTCTGCACATCCTCTAAACTAAGGCCTGAACTTAACATGTAAGTGGATCAATTAGCTCCTCTGAAATAGTTTGAACTTTATCTAATTAGTGTTGGATGCTTCATAAAAAAGCTTGTTAAAATGGGACAACTGTCATTTTTAGATCAAACTGATTTTCATGAAAGGGTTTGTTTGCACTGCATTTGTTTTGTCTGTTCATTACAGAAGCTCTTATTCATACTGCACAGTCATTGCATGTCTGTATATATGGAACAAAAAAGGCCAATGTTAAGGTTTTGAATCAATAGAAGCTGCAATAATTTTTTTCATCCTCTCAAAACCTGTTTTAAAGTGTTTACCAATAATAACTCAAAATGCATGAAAATTACACTGGTAAAATGTTTACCAGTATAGACATGTTAGACATCGTTGGAAAGCTTAGATTCTCCACAATTCAACCACCAAGATCATTTTATGGACAAAGCTAGTACAATAAAAACAGATATAGCAGCATGTCAAAATGTTGCATGACAAAGCAGCCACAACAAGCAAGCATGTCTTTATTACTGCTGTTCAAAGACCTATAATTTTCGAGAATAAAAAAAAGTTACTTTGAGTCTTGTTTGAACTGATGTAGCTTTGGCTTTGTTTTGCTCACCCAATTTCCATGTATATATTCAGAAACTGGAAGGTGTTAGTTTTCAAATAATGTACCACACATGGAATTTGGGCTTACAGTTCCTAAGTTATTAGCTTTTCAGTTTAGGTATGCAAAATAGGCGAGTATTTTCCAAATTGAGGTGGATGTTAGTTCCATTTAGAATGTTTTTTATATGGGTGCTTGTGTCTATCAAACATCAGCGTCCCACCCCCCATGTGTGACCTGTCAGATGAACCAGTGATGGGTCTGCACTAACTTCCTCTGACTGCTTTACTATTTGTTAGTTTCTTCTGAAAGAAAAATCGAACAGAGCGTATATTAAGAAGAGTGAAAGTAAGCAAGTGACCTAAAATGTGAATTTTAGTTTAATGCCTCTGTTTCCTTTTTTCCTGTTTATGTGTTAAATGTTGCCTCATCATGTCATTCATTGATGCATAGTTCCTAACTGCTGCTAGCGAGGAGCAGTCAGCCTGTTTCAGTAGCTCCCTTTATTTTCCTGAGTTTTTCCCACTTTTTTATTATTTTCGTTTGTGGTGTGACTTCGTATCTTTCTCATACTATTTTCTAACATAATGGAGGTCAGGATTTTCTGGAAAGCTCTGTTTTTCATTCTTTTTTTCGCCGTCTTTGTGTGCGGAGGCAGCGTGTTTGACCAGGCTCCCATTGTTTACACCCGGGACCAGCTGCTTGCCCACAGAGCCAGCCCATGTCCCCCGCGAGCGGAGAAGGACGAGACGTGGCAGCCGTGTGGGTGTTGGGCGATACCCGGGAGGGAAATACAGACCAACCATCCCATCCATCATCATGGGCAACATCAGATCTCTCTCTAACAAGGTGGATGAGCTGGTGGCTTTAACTCACCATGAAATACGCTACCGTGAGGCTAGCATCCTATGCCTGTCTCATTTAACTCTCATTTAAACATGGACGGATTTCATCTACTTTGGGCCACCAGAACCAGGGAGAGAGGTGAGAAGAGAGGAATGGGTCTGGCTGTGTTTGTAAATAAAAGATGGTGAAACTCTGAACCCCTAGCCAATAAAGAGACGACCTGCAGGACCTGCAGCAAAGACATTGTCCCCTCCTCTATTGCAGCAACAGTCTGTGATGTCCTGGACAGTATTACCAGCAGACTCCAAACACAGCATCCACAGGCTCTTTTTCTGATCTCTGGGGACTTCAACCATGTCTCTCTGTCTTCCACACTTCCCACATTCATACAGCAGACCACACTAAAACACTGGCTCTACTGTATGCCGACACCAAGGAGGCATACTCCTCATCACCTCTCCCTCCTCTAAAGAACTCTGACCACAATCTGGTTCATCTCCAGCCTGTGTTCAAACCCCTGGTGTGAAGAGAACCAGCTGTGAAACGCACAGTGATGAGATGGTCTGTGGAAGCAGAAGAAGCTCTCAGGGACAGTTTTTCCAATACTGTGTGGGAAGAGCTCTGCGCTCCTAATCAACAGGACATCAATAGTAGCACAGAATGGATCACCGATTACATAAACTTCAGTGTGGACAACACTGCCTATTAGAACGATTCGTCACTTCTCCAATAACAATCCATGGATCAACCCTGAAATAAAAGCATTTCTGAAAGTGAAAGAGGAGATCATTTAGATCAGGGAAAAAGGAGGAGCTGAGAGCTGGTCAGAAAGAACAGGGAAAGAAAATCAGGGATGGGAAGAACAGCTACAGAGATGGAGGACCAGCTGCAGCAAAACAACATTAGAGGGATCTGGAAAAGCCTAAAGACAATCTCAGGCCAAAATAAGAAAACCCAGGCTGCTGGAGACTTGAAGTGGGTTAAAGATCTGAACCAGTTTTGAAAAAGGTTTTAGCCACCCACTCCTTCCCCAGCCCAGGACACCCTGCTGTTACCCTCACCTTCTTCACAACTCCAGCTGCAAACCATCACCCATCCCCCCTACTCCAAAGAATTCCATCACACAGCCCATCCCCTCCTGCCATCTTGTCGCTTTCAACAACACAGATGAGGAATGAGCTGCGAAAGATCAAGGTGAGAACGGCTGCAGGTCCAGATGACATCAGCTCCAGGCTTCTGAGATGATCTGCAGATGAACTGTGTAGCATCTCATGTTTAAGACTTCTTGTGTGGTACCTTAGCAGCTACAGGCAGGTAGCACTGACTTTACACCTGATGAAGACCCTCCAACGATTGGTCTTACACCATCTACGCCCCCTGGTGAAGACTTCATTGGATCCACTGCAGTTTGTCTACCGTCCTGGGATTGGGGCAGATGCTGCTGATTGAAGATGCTGCTGTCATTTTGAGCATCTCTGATTTTGCTGCTAATGTCAAATATCAATCACTGTAAAATGTCCTAACTGTATATTGGTTAGTTATTCTCCAGGTGCACAGTTTTATATTGTTAAAACACTTTACAGTGAAGTATTTTATTGTTTATCTTTTAGCTCTTCACTAGCATGTTATTCTTATACATTTTTCTAAGGTCCACATTTGTTTGACTATTTTTTCTTTTTTCATCTGTTTGCTGCTGTAAACACCAGAATTTCCCCATTGTGGGACAATGAAGGGATTTTCTATTCTATTGTATTCTATGGTTTATTGTTCCTTTTTTATAACGTTTATATTCTGGTATACTTCTTTCTGGAGCTCCACCCTGAATACCTCTACGCATTATTGTCTCTCTCCTAATATTCCCCAGCTATTGCTTTCTCTCACTTGATTACTCTGGCCTGGTTGCCTTGCCTTCTCCTTCTGCTTTGTAGGCCTTGCATCAACTCTCACACTATGGCAGAAAACTTAGCCAAACCCAGGACTGAGCAAACAGTCAAGCTCATAACACTTACCAACTCTAGAGCAGCTGTAAAAGACTCAATAACTTTATGGTAAATGAATAGAGATTGTGCCTTTCCCAATTTTACAAAAGGAGATGCAGTGCAGCACTGCTTCTCTTTGCCAACATTCTGCCACCTGCCCAGTGTCACCCGCACCAAAGGCTGCGTTCGATTTCACAGGCTGCGTCCTCCAAGGTAGACTGGGTCCTTCAGGGTAGGTGAAAATAAGGATGCTATAAGAGTTTTGGCTTTGGTTTCAGACATTTTCACCCTTTTCCCACAGTCACTACCCCTCACTTAGCATATGCTCCGTCGCCTAGCAACCATGACAATTGACTCACAAAGCAGCAAAGAATGGATGCTAAACTTCTCACTACTGTTCTAGGTGCTAATAACATTTCTGAGGATCTTCAGCAGCAGTACCATCGTCTCAGATATCACATTTATAGTCCCCACACTGCAGAGATATTAGAATCTAGGGTTGTCACGATACTAAACTTTTCAACTCGATACCGATACTAAGGAAAATATTCGACACTCGATACCATTTTCGATACCATGAGGATAAAAACTCAAAATTTCAACAGAAATATTTTGATTAATAATTTAAATACAATAAATAAATACAATAAACAATAAGAACAATATTTTGAGGTTGTATGCTGTGCACAGTATTAAGTAAGCTTGATAGTGTTCAGAAAGTGCATTTTCCTCTATTCTGCACTTTAAATGAATGACTGTTTAGGTGCCACTGGTGGTGGCACTGTATCGATACTTTTGAAAATGAGTATTGTATCTGGATACAACGTTTCAGTATCGATACTTTTGACAACCCTATTAGAATCTGAGCTTAAATGTCAGCCAAACGCATTTACACAGCGACAGATCAAACCTTTCAATAAAACAAACATTACCCGCCACATATCTGACTCAGTAACCATTAAAACAACTATTTTCATTAATTTCAGAAGGAGCTATTCAAATACTTTGATTATATCAATCTGCACTTCCAATATTCACCACTGTTCTGTGCCATTTCCCTTATTCCTCTGAGCATGGCTTGCTCGGACACACAATGAATCATGGGATACCCAAGGTTACAGTGATAAAACAAAAAGAAGACTGCATTTGTCGGATGCATAACGAGGAGTCTTCCAGTACGAACAGACCTTGGCGCAGCGCTATGACATAGTCATCCAATGAATCTAGAGGACGCAGCTGGTGGATTCGCACTTGGCACACCAGTCTGCCTCCACTGCTCTGGCTGCTGCCTGTCTGGCTAATATCTGCAACTATTGAACTCTATTGGTATTATTGGCTCATGAATCCAGGAGACAAGGTGAACTGAGTAAAGGCCTGAACACATCGGCTGCATTCGACTTTTTAATCTCCGATCAGATTTTTTTCCATGTCCCACTGACTGCATATAGAGAGGCTCTGAC